ATTTTTTAATCAATATCTTTAAAATAAGAAATAGCGAATTATGCAATGTTAAAAAAAGAAACAAATAAATGCAAAAGAGTAATAATGTTTATAAAAAAGCCTTATATACATGTACAGTATGTCGATTATATATGTTGTAATCCCCAACTGCTGTATCATCATTAATCTTTTGTTAGTTGCTACTATCAATTGAATTTCTTCTTTTGTTTTTCTCTTCACTTGTATGCCCTTATGGACCCCAAATTGGTATTAATAAATTTTATCTTATCTTTATTCTATAATACATAGTGTTAAAGGCTTCTGATATCATTGCAAGACACCACAAATCACTTCTTATTTCATATCATGCTAATAATCATTGGTATCTCAGGCTTGATTCATGAAAATCTTATTTCTCTAAAACTGTATTAATTTTTTTTTTCCTTTTATAGGGTACAACTGTCAACTTTTATAAAACCTTTTCTAAGACTTCCAAAAACCTTGAATCTTATAAAGACGAATATAATGAAAATTGTTGCATGAAAAAAAATCATTTTTAAACTTCATTTTGATGCATTTCAAATTAAAAATCAATTTTTGGAGTTACAATGAAGCGCATTGAAGTGGTAAAATTTTCCGTTTGACTGGAACGTTTTGGGCTATCTTTAGAACGATGATTGTCATACAATGACACGCCCATTTCTTTAGAAAGGATAAATCGGTCAGATGGTTTATTCGAATACCTGTAGAACAGGTATTCTATAAATATAATAGCCAAACGAATTGGCGGTCTACATATAAACACCGAGTAAGCACGTGTTCGAACGATACCTGTGTTATGGTTACTCCAATGAACACGATAAATACATAATTATGGACAAATTCGTTGCAATATGTGTTTTACAGAAGCAGGAACTCTCAAACTTTCTCTCTTATGATATAAAAATCTCCATTTCGGTGTAACTCATGTTGCTTGTCACGAAGAGTGGGGTGTCCTTAAACATTACGACGAATATTTCTTTTTCGTTTCTAAAGAAATGGGCGTGTCTTAATGTTATAATTGACGTTCAAATCATGACTCAGAACGTTTCATCCAAACGGAAAATTTTACCACTTCAATGCGTTTCATTGTATCCTTCCTGGCTGAGGATCGGATATCCTTAAAGTAAAATTATCTGAATTAAGGCCCTGTCACACCAAGCTGCGTTCACACGGAGTCATTACGGCGTTGTTAAATTTTTTAAATCGCCGTGGAATCGTAAGAAAATTGCACGAATTTCCGTAAAATTTTCACAATATGAAGATGTCACGGCGTCCCTACGGCGACGGATGCGATTCTACGGCGATCTCACGGCGTTCTACTGCGTTCCCACGGAGATCTCTCGGCGATTGACTGCGCTTCCGCGGAGTTTTCACGGCGCGTTAGGAGTTTTCACCTCGTGTTCACGGCGTTCTCACTGCGCTGGCTGCGTTCACAATACATTCACACTGCGTTCTATACTCATTGATATAAATATTCAGAAGGAATGTGAAACATTTTTGTTTAAAAATTCAAGTTACAAGATGAAAAGACTTCTAATCATGCCAAGAAATATTCTAGATAATTAAAAATGCTCTATTTAAATAATTTAGCACTAAATTATTAATATTTAATAGTTTTATGATTAAGCTCCTTTTTTTCAATTTTATCGGTTCAGATGTGTTGTTAGATTTTCTTTGATTTTATTATGAATGTAAAAAATAAACACACTGAAAAGTTTTCTACAAAATTTAAGTGAAACAAGTTATATTTAAAGTACGAGTTTCCTACTGTATCGGAGATACAGGGCGGGGCTTAAGGCGAGAGCGATAGCTCGAGCCGGGCCCCGCCCTGTATCTCCGATACAGTAGGAAACGAGTATTTTAAATGACTTGTGACATGACCTTTCTAATGACCTCACATATTTACATGCGTATTTGGGTACATATCACTCAACAAATCAGATAATTTTGCAGAAAGTTGATTTAGTATCTCATTTTAAGCATTCGCAACTGAAATGCTGAGTGAGATGGACGTGCAGGTATTTATCATTTTGAAATAATTATTTAAGGGATGCATTATATAATTTGTTTCCTAATACTAGTAATTAATTTTAGATTTCATTGCGTAGGATTTTTTTTCTCTATTCAGCTCTTGCTGATATTTCTTTTTTTAAGCTACGATTTAATGCAATACATTTTGATACATAAGCATAATGTGCGAATATTTTTGAAACAAAAATGCTTCTGGGAAAACGTAATCTGAGAGAAATGTCCGACAATGTCCTCCACCGGTCGTCATACACAAAATTGAAATAAACAGATGAAAGGAAGGGGGGGGGGGTATTTTACCTTCATGTTTTTAATAAAATGTAGTGTAACCAAAGGGGATCTCAGCACTCACTGGGGGCTCCCATCCCACCCTCCTTTGATTTTTTTCTTTTTCGCTTTCGTAAATAATTTTCGATAAACTGGTATACATTATACGCTTTTAAATTTATCAGCAGGTTACGATATCACGCACATTGTGTCTTGGTTGGTTATAAATCTAACCTCACGAAATACGATTTTCCAATGATTTTTTTTTTGGGGGGGTGGGGGGGGGGTTCAAAGTAATCATTGGTGAACTGCCTCACTCACTCCTTTCTAAAATTTTCAAGTCCGACACTAATAAATTCACGTTGTAAAATTTTACTTTTAATTCATCTCTGAGTAAATACTAAGAGTGCTATCATGCGAACTGAACGATTGTTGTGTCTGTATACAGATACAGCTTTCCGTCATCGCTAAAAATAAACCGTACTGTATCGTTGATATTTTTCAGATACAGTACAGTTTCTGCTCATTTGCATAAGAAACGCCCATAAAAAGTGTTCTGTATCGCAGTTACAGTATGCTTGACTTCAAAGGAAAACTCGCCGGGTCATGTCACAACAGAACAAGTTCTGGTGTAATTTTCTCTGGAATTATTGCTGATCAAATATGATCCCATTGCTCTTGTTTTGTGAGGTGGCTGACAACGGTCTAACAACGCCGTGAAAGCGCATTGTGATCGCAAACGGACGCTGTAGAAACGCCATGGGAGCGCAATGATCGCAATGACAACTCCGTGCTGTCGCTGTGTAATACAATGAAGCGCATTGAAGTGGTAAAATTTTCCGTTTGGATAAAACGTTCTGAGTCATGTTTTGAACGTCAATTACAACATAATGACACGCCCATATATATTTTTAGAAACGAGAAAGAAATATTCGTCGTAATGTTTTAGGACACCCCATTCTTCGCGACAAGCAATATGAGTTACACTGAAATGGAGCTTTAAAAAAATTAGAAGGGAGAGTTGGAGACTCTTCGCTTCTGTAAAACACAAATTGCAACGAATATGTACATATTTTTGAACTTATCATGTCTATTGAAGTTACCACAACACATGTTTCGGTCGAACACGTGTCTAATCGGTATTTATTTAGACCGTCAATTTCATTGGCTATTATATTTATGGAAAACCTGTTCTACGGGTATTCGAATAAACAAATTGACCGTTTTATCCATTTCTAAAGAAATGGGCGTGTCATAAGATGACAATAAACGTTCTAAAGATACAATGAAGCGCATTGAAGTGGCAAAATTTTCCGTTTGGATGAAACGTTCTGAGTCATGTTTTGGACGTCAATTATAACATTTAGACACGCCCATATCTTTAGAAACGACAAAGAAATATTCGTCGTAATGTTTAAGGACACCTCTCTCTTCGAGACAAGCAACATGAGTTACACAGAAATGGAGATTTTTATATCATAAGAGAGAAAGTTTGAGAGTTCCTGCTTCTATAAAACACATATTGCAACGATCTTGTCCATAATTATGAATTTATCATGTTCATTGGAGTTACCAAAACACATGTATCGTTCGAACACGTGCTTACTCGGTGTTTATATGTAGGCCGCCAATTTGATTGGCTATCATATTTATGGAATACCTGTTCTACAGGTATTCGAATGAACCATCTGACCGATTTTTCTTTTCTAAAGAAATGGGCATGTCATTGTATGACAATCATCATTCTAAAGATAGCCCAAAACGTTCCAGTCAAACGAAAAATTTTACCACTTCAGTGCGCTTCATTGTAGCTCAAAACGTTCCATTCGAACGGAAAATTTTACCACTTCAATGCGCTTTATTGTAGCAGTCGAAAAAATCACAAGACGATAAATCTCATTAGAAGCGCCGTAAAAACGCGATAGAAACGCAGTGACATCTCCAAGGACTCCGCGACATCTCCGTGGAAGCGCAGTGTACTATCGCTGCGTTCGTGCCGCGATCATGTGCGTCTTCACGGCGTTCGTACGGAGCTCCCACTACGTTGTTGGAGATCTCACCGCGCTGCTACGGCGATCATACTGCGTTTCTACTGCGTTCTTATCAGACCGCGATCACACGGCGCGTACTTTGTGCATGCCCAAAGTGATCGCCGTCCCCTGGCGTTTTAGGAGACCCTACGCGACCCTACGGCGTTCAGTAGAGATCTCGACGCGTTGTCACGGCGCTGTAGGAGACTCTACTGCGATCACCTCGGCGTTTTGCATTTTTTGAGGACGCCGTGCAGTCGCCGTTAGGACGCAGCCCCGGTGTGACATGGGTTTTACTGCGATAATGTGTTGCTACTCTGTAAGACAATTTTAATATCTATTTTTTTTTTAAACCTCTTCACCCTCTATTTTTTGTTCTCTTGTGTTATTTTCAAATGCCCATATACTAACTTACTTACTTAGGCCTGTCACAGGCCATCGACGACAGTCCTCCAACAATTTTTTGTTCTCTTGTGTTGTTTTCAAATGCCCATATAATGGGCTCATATTGAAAATAATTTATTTATGGAGCAGAAAGGATGGCATTGTAAAGTTACTTTTATAAAACATGGCATCCTATATTACTATAGGTGTATGTCTTCTTGCTCATGCCTTTTTATTAAACATTTGTTACACATGCATGAACTTTTTATGGGCAACCCCCTACTTTGCCTCTCTGGAATGCTCTGAAAGAAAGATAACTCTAACTTCTGGTCATTGCCACGTGTGAACTTTGGAGAAGTAAACATGTCCCAAGAAGACGAGAAATATATGGACGAGTTTGACAAATACAACATTGAACAGGACAAGTATGTCCACGGCAAAAGCGGGAAAGGGCGCACCAAGCATGAGGCGGAGCAGAACAAGCACCCGGGAGAACACACGCGCAAAATCGCCGAACATCTTATAAACAGCGCACATAAATCGGAAAAGGAACCTACAGGCCCTGTACATACCAAAAAATAGCATGTCATGGTAGGTGTCATTAAAACTTAATTTGTTAATTAAAAAATACGAAATAGTTATAAAATTTATGGATGGATGCTATATAATGCTTTTGTTGGCCAGAGAAAATTTTTAGAGGGAATGTTCTAGACTTGTTTGTTTTGAACAATATGGGTCGAGTAGTGAAAACCTAGAGCCTGTATATATATATATATCAAATAAAAGATAATTTATAAGCATATGTTTGCTTTATATACCGATTCACAATAACGACATAGTAATAAGATCTTAATATGATCATTATTAATCAACTGTCAATTAAAAGTAAGGCCTATTCAAGTAGCCCAACAATTCATATGATAAGCACGTACATACTTCAGCACGAGGTGTATTATTAATCCGACATAAGGAAACACATAAACCACAGGTGCTTCTTTTGTTTCACTTGTTATTTTTTTCAAACACACAAAAAATATGAAAGTGAAAGTGGTACACATTTGAGATTACTTAATGTAAAACCGAACACCGCATCATCCCCCTTTCCCAAGTGATGCCTCCCTCGAGCCGCCCTTATTTCCACGCTTGGAGTATCCTTCTTATTGGAGGGGGGGTTATTCCACTCTTCTAAAAACCCAGCCCTTAGTTTATAGAGCAAAGGATAGGATTTCATCACTTATTCTTACCAAACTGTCCATCATGCTTAATGATAGATAATAAAGTGACCATCTTTCGTATATATACACATGAAGGGAATCAAGTATACAATGACAGACTATGTATGTTTTGTCGAAATTAATGCTTCCTGTGATATGGATTGACTAATGATTAAATATAATCAAAGATTAAATATCTGGATTGTTAAAAAGTGTGTGTAAATTTATTTAAAAGATGCTTAATAAAGGCAATTATAATATCAAACCACAACTTTTATGCGGTATGTTTTTAAATGAACGGATTAGTTTATAATAATGTAATATTTATTGCAGAATTATTACAGATGAATAAAACGGACTGAACCATGGAATAAAAGAGAGAATAAAGAATCAACGGAAAAAGAAATGACTTTTGATTGTAACTAGCAGCAAAGCTGTTTATATAAAAAAAAGATTGGTCGGGGATTTCATTTTTTCACAGTCGCAAAGATTTCTATGCATTTGATGAATTTTTGTATTATTTATTTTTATTACTGTGTATAAATGTTGTATCTTTAAAGAAAATATTTGTTGGTTTTATAATGTTAAAAAAAAATCACTCCTAATATTCTAGTATTTGTGTTTGTTATTCAACAAAGAATAGCAAACGCCAAGTCCCGATTCCCGCCAATATTTTAGACCTGTACACCCATATATTCAACATGTTTGGCATATTTTCTATATTATAAGATTTTGAACTAATGGTTAAAGAAATGACATCTAAATCTTTCACTAAAGTTTTGTAAAATTAAGTATATTTGACCCATTAGTTTCGTAAGACCTATGGTCGGTTCAATGTCCTTGTTATTAAATACAATCCATCATTAATTCAAATTTCATTTAATTTTTAGCCCTTAATTTAAACTGATTTCCGTTATTTCATTATGTCACTTGTCATCAAATACAATCCATCATTAATTCAAATTTCATATATTTGTATTTTTAACCCTTTATTTAAAGTGATTAATATATTTCATAGTACATCATTTGGAACTGGTCCTAAAATCACCAATATGGATGTATTTTGGTCTGAAAACATTGATTTCATATAAGCTTAGCCATGAAAAATGGCTAACTATTCTGTTAATAGAACTTTAATGATGAGTCCTAATAAATTCAAGGTTTAGAACATATCTATTTCTTTAAAAACATTTGTTTCAACTTTATGAAAAATGATATACTAGTATACATGTAAATCTATAATGATGTTCCGCGTCTAAATCGTCTTGCCAGCTGACGCAGTTCTCGCCTCAGATTGGTCATCTCTCTTTGTCTTCTGTTCTTATTCACTTGTCCTCTTGATGGCTGCCTTTCCTCCTTTCCAAATCTGTCCAATCCTACATTGTACATTATCGTTACCATGCCTTCGATCTTTTTGTCTATTCCTCCTGTCAATGATTGATGGATTTTATCTCACATTGTCCAATTTCAACCAAACTTGGCAAATTCTGCCGGCTGCCTTTCTGTCTTCTGTCACCCCTTAGGTGCCCCCTCCCCCTTGGAAAAACAACCTCTTCCTCCGTCTCACCAGGTTGTATTAAAATCACCGGATGTTATTTTCAAAATCTATACATTTCCTGTTTATTCAAATCTAGGATAGATGTTGTTTCCGTTACATCCTCCAAAACAAGTCCCTTCTACCCCTGGTATATTTTAATACGTAATATACGTTACATTGAAAAAAAATAAAAAATTAATGTTTTTGAAACCACATCTGTTAAAATATAAGTTAATAACACTCAAAATATTCTGGAATGCATGCATTTATTTCAAAGAAAGGGATCGTGAAAAGGGAGGAAAAATAGTTGTCATGGCGATCAACCTTTTTTTCTATACATTTGTCCGTTGTCTGTCGTTTTTGTTGTCGTTAACTTTTCACATTGGAAAGGCCCAACAAACTTGGCACAAAGTATCCTTAGGTATAAGAGGATTCAAGTTTGTTCAAATGAAGGGCCACGCCCTTATTCAAAGGGTAGATAATTCAGAAATAGTGAAAATATAAGGTAAATTCTTTAAAAAAATCTTCTTCTCAAGAACCACTGTGCCAGGAAAGATGAAACTTATAGGGAAGCATCCTCAGGTAGTGTAGATTCAAGTTTGTTCAAATCATGACCCCCAGGGGTAGGGCGGGGCCACAATGGCCTATCAAAGTTTTATATAGAAATATAAAAAAAATTCTTTAAAAATCTTCTCCTCAAGAACCACTGTGCCAGGAGAGATGAAACTTATAGGGAACATCCTCAGGTAGTGTAGATTCAAGTTTGTTCAAATCATGACCCCTGGGGGTAGGGCGGGGCCACAACATGGAATCCAAGTTTTAAATAGAAACGTAGAAAAAATCTTTAAAATTGTAAAGGGCAATATAGCCACAGGTAGTCAAAGACGGGGAAGCATCCTTTGTTAGTGTAGATTCAAGTTTGTTCAAATCATACCCTCTCCCTTTTAAGGATTGGTTGGGACCACTTTTGGGTCTTAACTTTTTAATAATAAACTGATTTATGCTTTTTTCCTAGCTACATTGCTCAGGTGAGCGATGTGGCCCACGGGCCTCTTGTTTGATCTGTTGTTAATAGTAAGCAGAGCATTTGTTTGACCCTTTTGAAAGTTTAAAATACTGATAAGTGATTTAAAATATTTCATCTCAAGCAAGTTATAATGAACTGCGAGTGTAAATAAGCTGGATGTCCAGAAGTAGAATGAATTATACGGAGAGAACGAACAGTACTCAAGCTGACAAGTCCATTCAAACAGTACAAACCAGGAGCAGTGCAAACATGGACCTCTAGAACATCAAAAGTGGGATCAGGTGCCAAGGAGGAGTGAGCATCCTGTCCTCTACAAAAATTTGAATTTTTCAATTTAAATTTGTCATATACAATTTGAATTAAAAAATTCAAATTTTTGTAGAGGAGAATCCCCTGCTGACCAGTCACACCCGCCTTGTACTCCTTGTCATAGTTGGAAAATTATAGAAAAATCTAACGACAGTTCAGTGTGTAGATAATGGTATAACAATAAGTATGAAAAACGTCCATCAGCATTTGATTTAATGCTATTTGTTGACAAGGTCATTGTATCGACCATAGATCTTGCGAAATGATGACTTAAAACGAGACTAATGATGATCTTCTTTCAACAACTTGTTTTTCAATAACTTACCTCGCTTTAGAAATTTTTCGAATATAGAACATGCTTAACTGAGAGATGCAGGTGAAGGGAATTCTAATGACTTTCTAAAACATTTAATAAATTCTGACAAAGTGTTTAGATTTTCTATTAACATTTAGCCAACATCTTGGTATTCAAAATAGAAGTTCTGTCGTCAAATTGAAAGATCGACCTCGGGGCTCCCTGTACTTTTAGAATGATTGTTTTAAAGTCATCTTGCATTTACAAATATATTTCCATCACTAGTAAAGACGGTGTCCCACGTGACTATAGTTAAAAGAAGAAGAGCAAGAACATGTGAGGGGATTTTGTTGTCGATGTTCAATATCTTCAGGCAAATAAGGAATTTTTAAGTTGAAAAGTTAAGGTCATTTAGTTTGCCCTTATCACCTATAGTTAGTTAAATTTGATATCCAATCATCAAAAAGACTGTGATGCATTTTATTTCGAGTGGAGTGATCTATTTTCTTTGTATTTTGTTGTGAGGAGTGATGAAGCCAATGGGAAAGAATATGTCGTTCTGTAATTTGATTTCCATTTGGCAAAGCGCAATAAAAACCCCATGACCCCTTCTAGATCCGCCAGTGGTTATAGAGTTTTGATATTTCTCATCTGAGTATGATGGCATCATGGAGTTTCGGTATCTATATACTAAAACTATATTGATGCTGCAAACATTTCAAGTTTGCAGTATGGTTATAGTGTTTCAATATCTCCATTGGTTAGTTTTCTCAAACACTATAATCCCCAAATGATTATAAAGACGACAAACAATGTATTTCTTTATTTTATTTTTAGATAAATATGTAACAATAACCAACACACAACAACAGCAATTTCAATATCAACAAATAGGTTTCCAATGCACATCTTTAAAATATTCCACAGGCTGTGTTCAATATATAAAGTAATTCTCTCTCTCTCTTTCTCTCTCTCTGACATGAAGATAACTTCAATAGCACTCACATTCTTTAAACGGAAAAAATAATCTTAATATTGTTCCAGAAGTGTAAGAAAATCTATAGCTGTCGATCAGATTTTGATCCATTTTTACCAGCAACAATAGATCAAAGACTTGGTAATGAACTCCATCGATTGCTGAAAGCAGCTTACAAACCAACAAGGAACCGTCCCAGAAGTCAGATATCAGCTGGGTCTTTTAAAAGAACATAATGCATACAAGTATGAACAGATTCGTTTTATATTCGGGGGCAGGTATATTTGCTTCGAATATCTTTGCTCCGAATATAACAAGTTTATATAAAGGACTGCAATGCAAAAATCACAACACATTACATACCGGGGTATGTTAAAATCAGTTGTCAAATAATTATCTAAAAGATAAAACAATTTAGCACTCTAACATATCCTGATTTAAAAAAATACTTTTCCTACAACACGTGATGTAATTTAGTAATTTAGATTCGTTATTAGCAATGTTTCAAAAGATAATAATACCCGAATGAGTGGACATCTTTCACATAATGTATGTATTCCGATCTCTGTAGTTAACGATGCTTTTGCTACCTAATACATAATATCACAGAAAGCTTACTTGGCCACTTCTAGACATTTTCTATGTACAAAAACCTTGCTAATACAAGTAAGGTCACTAAAATACTTAGCTACAGAAGTGTAGCTCTCTAGTTTATCTGTCCAAATTTTCTCAACCAGAAAGCTGCAGTTCTACGGCTATCAAATACAAGCATACGTATACTAAGTATATCACAAAGAAACTCGTATACATGTATATACACATGTACTACCTACTAACGGTACGTGTTAATTTTGTGTAAGACATTTGGACTTTCTTTTTTTTTTTTTTAAATCACTAGTTAACCTACACTAGGGCAAAACATATACTTGAAAAAAAATCTAAAGAATTTAAAGACTATTTTGAGGGAAGACTACATATACAAAAAATATGAAAGACACTGACAAGCTAACTGTACATGTCATAAAATATACCAACACATACAACACATAATACAGATGTGGCATTGTAAACAGATATTCTATATCTGATTAATATTGTACTGACTGAAAAATATTAATTTGTATCACGTCTGCTATCACATCTATATAGTAAGTTTAACTTGATAAAAATTTATCAAGATTTTTCTGAAATTCGTTACCCATGATCTTGTTCATTACCGTTTTATCCACAGGTGGAGCTGGCGAGTTATCTCCCTTTCCCGCCAAATTTTTCAAATCATAATCTGACAGTTTATCTAGCTGTTCTATAGCACTCTGCAAATCTCGATCCTCTCTTGAAGGGACCCTGGGTGTGTTATCAAAGTATGGCACAGGCGTCTCCGGTTTGGGCTCCCTTTTGGGGGGAGCAGTAGTGACGGGCGGCCGGGGCGGGGGAGCCGCTTTACTCTGCACTGGACTGGACAGAACATCCGGAATATCATCGCTGTCATCGCTGTCCTCTGAAACTGGTGGTCTGGGCTTAGAGCCAGCCTTAACCTCTACATTTGCTGAACTTTCTGCCTTCTGTGCTGGTGGTTTACTCTTTGTCGGAACAGCTGCTTTAGGGACTTTAAATGATTTTCCTTTCTGTGCTTTATTTTCTTTTTCTGACTCAGAAGAATGATCCCATTTAATCTCTTTCGGTTTTCGTTTTGGAGATTCGGATTTCTTCTTTTTGTTTTTCGGTTTTGGAGGTGGGGATTCTGGCTCCTCACTATCGTCTTCGTCATCAGATGGTTCCGGGGTTGCTTCCTTTTTCTTTGGTTTTTCCTTCTTTTTAGCTACAGCTTTTTTCTTTGGTTTTGGACTTGGAGGAGGCGTTTCCTCTTCCTCATCATCAGACGGCTCCGGACTAGACTTCTTTTTCTTATGGTTAGATTTTTCTTTTTTCTTGGGACTTCTTGATCGAGATTCAGTATCTTCACCTGATGGACTGTGGTTTTTCTTTTTATTCTGTTTTTCTTTTCTATTTTTTGAGCGTCCCCTGCTTTTACTTCGACTTTTGTTGACAGTTACCTCAGGGGAGATAGACCCAGAAGAGTCTCTTCTAAGCTTTGACTGTTTCCTTTTCTCTGAGGGAGTTCTATGTTTGGATCTGTTTTTCTTTCTGCTTTTCGAGCGACCCCTACTTTCACCCTGCTTGATGTTTATGTTTACTTCTGGCGATGATGATCTGGACGAACGAGACCTACGACTTCGAGAGTGAGACTTTTTTCGAGACCTTGACCTTGAATGTTTGTGTTTTGGTGAATGAGATCGAGGCTGAGATTTTTTATTTTTGCGATCTCGTGAACGAGACCGAGATTTTCTTTTTCGAGATCTGGATCGAGATCTGCGACTTGGTGAAATATTCACGACAATCGGTCTGTTTTTGGAACTTGACCGACTTTTGCGTCGCCTTCTAGAATCTGATCGGCTTCTTCGTCTTCCACGCGATCTAGAACGACTTCTGCGTTTGCGAGAATCGGAACGACTGTGCTTTCTTTTCCTTGAATCCGACCTGCTTCGTTGTCTGTCTGAGTGAACATGATTAACCACAATCATGTGCCTTTTTCTGGAGTCCGATCGACTTCTTCGTCTTTTTCTGGAATCAGAGCGACTTCGCCTTCTTCTGGAATCTGACCTACTTCTTTGCCTTCTTTTGGAGTGTGATCGACTTCGTCGGCGATGTTCTGCATTAGTATGTACTACAACTGGAACTATATCATGCTTTGGAGATCTGGATCTAGATCTTGATTCATGGCGTCTTCTTGGTGGAGGAGTGTGCGATCGTTCTCTTCTTCGCTCCGTTCCTACAACAGGGACACCTACGCCGATATCAGGGTCAAAATGTCTAGAATCTCTCGGAGGATGGACCTGACGACGCGATGGGTCATCGTCTTCTTCGTCGTCGTCCTGATGAGGGTCACGTGGTCGCTGGATTGGAGGTAGGGGTTCACGTTGTTTACTGCGACTTTCCTGTGGAAGAGGCGAATCATGGCGGCTTCTGGAATCATTTCTTGATTGATTGGATTTAATTGGTGGAAGGGGCGGTGTTGCTGAGAGTGAATGACCAGAGCCTTGCTTTGTTAACCGTTTCTGTGAATAGAATGCATGTCTTTTATTAAATTCATTGGTTGAGTGATATTTACATCAAACTATTTCCAATTTTTTGTGGTTCACTTACTCTAGTGCTGGGCGAGTCATCCATATCTGGTTGGGATGGTGAATGCTTCTAAAAATATATATAATTATGAAATAAATGTGAAGCTCATTTACGGTATATAAAATATGAAAAAAGATAAAGATTAAGGTTAATTGTTCTGGTAAGTAATAAAATATCCAAATTGAAGTACATGTATATGTATTGATAGTGAGTTGAAAGAAAGAATATTCCAGAATTTGCATAAAAATGTAAATCTTTGTGTGACATTTATATTTACTTTAGGAGGAGATTGGCGTTGGTTTTGGCCTGGTGAAATGGTTGGCTCAGGGGTAGGGGAGCGTCGCTCGTTTTCTTCTAGACTGGCAAAGTCAGCTATATCCACACTGGCGAATGCGCTGTCGTTCCTTTCGCCATTCGCCCCATCTGCAGACTAAAATTAAAAATAAATCTTGTAAATTATCAAGCTTAACAGTATTTATCACATGTTTACCCATTTATCCTGTGAACATCACTAAGTGGATAAATCTTTCGCCAAACACTTCATGTTAGGATTCTTTTCTCAGAAACAAGTACATGTAATTGTATTTGTAAAAAAAAAATCTAATCTAAAAGATGGCTCAAATATTTTAAAAAATTAAATTACGCTGCCATTTTAACAATGCGAAATTTTTTATTAAATCGTTTGCGTGGCGCAGTGGTTAGAATAAATCGTATGCTACGATTTAACAAATCGTTTGTACGATTTAGTAAATCGTTTGTCAATCCTTACGTCGCGGGTTTAATAAACTGTGGGACGTGGAATAAATCGTTTGTACGATTTAACAAATCGTATAAACCAAGGTCCCGTGTCACAGTAGGTGCTGGCACGAAAAAGATCCCTCCCTGCTCAATGGCCCTGAGTGCCGAGTATAGGACAAAATTTGCAGCTCTCCACCGGCAAGTGGTGGCGTCTCCATATGAGTGAAAATGTCTCGAGAGGGACGTTGAACAAGATACAATCAATCAATCGTTGCGTAATATGATACTGACGTTGGTTAGCGACGTTAAATGACAGACGGGAAAAGAAACAGGATAACAAACCATTAAAAGAACAACTATACCATATTTATAGGACTTGAAACGGTTATCCAAGAGCTAGATAAAAAACTTTTTGAATTAAATAGGGTTCTTATAATGCCTTATTTCATATCCTACCCTACATAAAATACTGAGATGTAAGTTGTACTTGCAAAGTTAAAAAGTGTGCCTAAATAAACCAAGGACGATGAAAGCTTTATCAGTCCCATCGGGAAAAAAGTAATTATTAATCTGTTCTCGAAAAGAAATGTATGGATTTATGTCAGTCTCATTTTGTACGGACTCATATATCTCTCTGATATATTTTTTTTAATTCTGCAAAATATAATGTAGTCTAAGAGAACAATAAAAAATTTACCCCGATCAGTAAAAAAAAAAAAAAATACAACCCGGTACCCTGTAGGTACATGATATAGTTTTCCCGGAAGGTTTTCTGTTCATTTATAAAGTGGAACTATAGTGTAGCAAACTCAACTTAAACCGGAAGTGGCGCACTATATGATTTACATTATAATTTTTTTTATTACTTTAAAACGCATTTTACTGTAAACTGTATATTTTTTTTTGAATTCGTAAAAGATAAGTGTGAAAAATTATTGTAGTGATATTATCACTAAGATCCTTAATTACATTTATATGAGGTTCCTTAGTACATCAATTCACTTTTTTCAGACCTAAAATCGAAATTTATTCAGAAAAATGAATATATTATGAAACAGTAATTAAATATTTAAAAGTTAATTATTACTTTTCTTCCGACAAAAATGAAATTGAATGTTTCTCACGATAGAAAACATGCAGAATTGCAGTTTAATTTAACGAATAAATATTTAAACATTGGTTAACAGTCGAAAACCTAGGATCATCAAACAAACAAGTGATATATTGTCTCCAAGAGTAGTCATGTCACAGATCATAAACTTTGTAAAAAATACCCCAATTTTCGGTTTATCCTCCTCATAATTAATCTTTGTCCCCCATTCCAAGCTTTGTCTGTGAAAAAAGGAATGTTACAAAAAAAAAAGCCTTACCTAAATCAAAGTTGCAGTTGCTTTTTGAGCCTCGCTGCCAGGCCATTAATAGAAGAATTTTAAACTTTATAAAAATCAATAGAAAGTTTGATTAATAATAAATAGAGATTTGTGGCTTTGTTTACATGTGGAATGCATCGATAATCAACATTTCTGTTTTACATCGATTTCCCTGAAGATGAATAAATGCATTTCAAACTATATTTTTTAGCAATGGAATTCAGAAAGTAATAGATGCATGAGATTATAAACTATATGCTATATCGTCTCTCAGTTAACAAAACTATAATCAAACAGTTCATGGAAGGAAAATGAACTTTCCTCAAAACTATTGTTTAGTTTTTATGTTAATTTCACCTCTGTTATTTATCCATTATGAATAGAAGTAGTAGCCCTAGAAGCTATGAAGATATTTGGATTTTAGAAATTTAAATGTTGTCTGAGTATAGTTAACTCTTACATCATTGATTATTCCCTGCTGCTGGCAAACAACCCTTGCCAACACCAGACACGGAGGTATTCGATCAACTGAAATCGATTTTCATCATTCAATTTCACAAAGTAATGAGAGAAAAACTATATTGGATTGATGGCGATTTAGACGTAACGATTAGTGCTTGTAACAGTTGAACTGCAAAAGTGTCTTAAGTAATGTAACGCAAGAATTCAATACCATAAAATGATTAATGTTTATAATGGTATAACCCCAATTTACGACAAGTAGTCGATACAAAAATGTGGCGATTATTGTTTAAAAGGGTATAACTGATGTGTTTTAATTTATGCATGGTGAAATTTTCAAATACTGACTCTGAATATAAATCCATGTAGATGAAAATTATAAAAGATACGTAATTATATATTTTGTTTTCCTTTTATTTTTAATTTAATAACAATTGCTTATATGGACAGATGCTTCACAAAATTCATCATTTTTATTAACTTCGAATAGTTTGTGTTCTTTGTATACATATTCCTTCATTCATCAAGAGTTATTCGTGTTATGGTATTGCAGAGGTAGCCAAAGAACCAGTGCAACTATATTTCTATCAATAAAGCTAAAAACTTAGGCTAGTAACCACTTCTACGAAGTGTTAAAAGAAGACTACAACTTACTCAACTAAAATTGTAACTTAAAATTTACAGACACGAATAAAAACATTGCAATTCGACTTTACTTTTTTCAATGAAGTTACCAGTTGAGAGTATCGATGACATATGGTGATAACGAACATCATTCAGGCTTCTATGATCAAATAAACAATACATGAATAGAGAGCAAAGCAAAAACGGATCTCTAAAGCATTAGAAATAGGATCAGATACCACGAAGGAGCAAGCAACCCTTGACCTGTCATACCCGCTGTATGCTCCTTGTCGTGATTGGGGAATGCGAAAAAAATCCGTAGATGATTCAGTGTGTAAATAATGGTATAATAATTAGTATGAAAAACGTCAGTCAGCATTTAACGTAGTGATGATGTATGAAGATAATGAATAGTTATCATTCTCAAAAGATCAAAGGAGTAATACAAATCAGGGGATGAACAAACACAGATCACTTAAAACTTGAGAGGAGGGATCATGTGCCATGAAGAAGTGAGCATCCCAAGCTGATCGGTCACATTTGCCATGTGCTCCTTTTTATGATTAGGAAAAACATAAAATCTCAAGACAATTCAGTGTGTTAATAATGGCCTAAAATAAGTATGAAAAAACGTCAGTCAGCATTTAAGTATTTGATGATTAGATTGTATATTTTGTCAAGGGCATTGTATCGACCACAGAACTTGCAAAATGATAATTTAAAATGAGATTGATGATATTTTTTGTTACACCAATTTGTTTATCAGTAGCTTGCTTCGTTTTATAAAGAATTTAATTGTACGAGGGTTGGTCCAAAAGTTCGTGGAATTTCGTTATAATATTTTATTGCGATTTGAGGAAAGCCAACAACGTGCATATTTATAATATAGAGTCATAATGCAACAATATTGGAAATTTTCACCGCATTCCAATAACCAATAAGGTCACATGAGCCTTCTAAAAATGGATAGTTGTTAAACCCGGGGGAAACTTCGACGTTACGTCGTTAGATATGTCACGTCACTTTATAAAAGCATCTCACTCTAATGTCCGATACAAATATGTAATTCTACAAAATGCTGCCCTCCTCACCATTTTTATTTTCTCAAGAAAAGCTAGGGTATCTTCTTTCACTAAGTTTTCTTCATTTTATCACTCATATTTCAAAATACTCCTCATCTTGTCATATGATGTTCCAAATAAGTAGCAATGTCAAGAACAGTTCGTCAGCCGACAACCCCCATTAACGCTTTTCATTTGTCTAGGGAGATAAACACTGAAAAACAGAGCCTCCAAAAGGCAGCCACACCTTTAATCAACGTCCATGGAAGTTCTATTTTTCCTAAATTTTTAAGGCCACTGAAAAACTAGTAACTTAATGCATTTATTCCCAGCCAATGTCAATAATATACGCATTTCAGATAGAGTGATCCCGGGATTTTCACAAAACTTATGACTTTTCCGAAATTTGACTTTGTTTAACAACTAAAGATGAACGATAAATCATCAACTAATAAACTAAATATCCAATAAAATCATTAAAACTCACACAAAGGTTTATAAAAGATCAAGCAATCGTAATAATGACATTATTTTTGCTTTATATACCACATAGGGTGGTTTTATTCTCATTTCAGGTATTAAGAATTAAAATGATAATATTTCCATTTCTAATTTTTCTCTCTGTGATAACTCTTTGAAAGTTAGTTAATTTCTTGATAATTCTACCGGAATGTAAATTACGCAGGTCAATAGGTCAGAAGCTACATGTAAGGAGGCCTAATATGCATGCAAATCTCGTACGCATCTGTCTCTGAGTCTGACGCTAAGGAGGCCAAATATGCATGAAAATTTCGTGCGGCTGCCGTTGTGTTTGACGTCAGTGGGCGAGGACTATTGAAATTAGGATGGGAATCCTCGTGTTATTGAAATCTATGTCTGCATTTTTAAAGTCTAAATCTACAATTTTGTTTGACAATGAAATGGAAATATAAGGAATCACTGTCTAGTTAGTATAGTATGCCAGGGACATCAACAATAATGATTCCTTAAATAAACGCATTAATGTCTCCCCCTCATTTCCAAACAACCGTTTCTATGGCAACTGCCATAGAGTTACTATCATAAATATTTGAATTTTTTTTAAATTTGAAATATTCAACAAGTGTCTATATTCTCATTTGTAATTTTCAACCAATTTTACCTATAAATAAGTAATATATGAAGAAATTCCACGAACTTTTGGATCAACCCTCGTATTTCAATCATTCTAATTTCTGAAGTGTAGTACAGCCAAATCAACTATAATTCAATCATTTAATTAAGTTTTCGAAGTACACTAGTTCAACTTTTATTCAACCAAATAATTCAGCTTTAATAATCCACGTATCAATTGCAGAAAATTACGAACCAAGCAATGCAAGTGTAATTTCATCAGTTAAGTTTCAGAAGTAAAAAAAAACCCTGACAAACAAGTTTACTATAAATCTAGGACTGGATTTACACATGAAGAGAAAAACGAAATAGAGAATTCGAGTACCATTTACGCAATTCAAATAAAATTCTGTAGGTGAAGTTACAGAGATAGAAAATTTAAAACTATTAGCAAGTTCATCTTTATTTCTTTCACTAAAGTTTCAGAAACTTTACGTGGGTGAACTTTTTACTCACTCCGCTTCCGTAACGGTTCATCCGGATCCGGTCCGCTAGGGTGAGGCCATCTTTGTTTTTCCGCTTGTACTTGGTCTTGAGGACTCGCTTGGCATTAACAAAGTCCATCCCGTACGCTTCGTTGATGGCGGACTTCAAAATCTCCGACTCATTGTTCCGTGTTCCTTTAAAGAAAAGTTCTCACTTTTTATCAATGCAAGGGACTGTTATTCCCTTAGTTATGTTAGAATATAAAATTTGAGGATTTTCTGTCTAGTTTTATTTACATATACTTTTTAAAATCAATCTAGGCATACCTCACTTATTTTGTATATTTAATAAAGATATCGAACATTTAATGATTTGATGAAAATTGATCTTGATGGCTGTAATTTAAGATGGAATAAATCCTCTCTATCTTGAAACGATTGAAGCTGCAACATAGATAGTTTTCTACATAAAATAATCAAATATAAAATATTTAAAATCTAAAATATAATATAATAATATTAAATATAAAAAAAAAAATAATAATATAGAATTAGCAAGAATGAGATAATAAATTGAAATCCTGCTAATATATTTTATAAAAATGACAGAAAATGCAACTATATCGGATAATTTAGGGCATAGTCAAATTGAAAGAAAATGATTCATGGACCCACAGATATGACACTTAGATTATTGAGGGTTACTATGACGCTGAAAACAAATTTATAGATTGGTTATGTACAAAGTTTCTTGTTTGGGGGAATATTATCCGTCAAACCGGAAGTTATAAATCGCCTGTTTTATCGGAATGTTCAATCCTTAATTCTTTTTAAATAACGATTTTTTTCTGAAATACGCCAGACTAAAAAGTAGCTAATTGCTGTAAACTGTCGATGAGAGAACCCAAATAAAAGCAAATATTGAAACAACAAACATATTTTGTACTTGAGCATTCATTCGATGCATTTGAACTTTTAATGCTTGGTACAAACACAGTTCAAATTGCGTCGTCATGTAATTAAAACAAATATGTCTTTCTTGTTTTATATGCATGACCACTTCTGTGTTTTGAAATTTTGTTGCAGGAAACACGTGTAAAGATAAAAAATATTCTTTTTTTGACTAGTGACGTTCTTTCTTGGAAATACTCACATATTGTGATTTGTTAATGTGCTCAAATTTTAATAAAAATTACCCGAATAGACTGATTAAAGGTTGATGACCAGGCTGCAAAGGAATCCAATAAAATGGCTTATGATACATGTGCATGAATGATATGGAGATAACGAATAGTATTAACTGTAATTTACCGTGGGAAATGGTTTTTTAGTTATAAAGACCAATGAAAGGTTAGCAAATTTACGTTTTTTTATTGAAAAGGCAGCTGTTGATTTAAAAAAGATAAAATGTTATAAAGATTTCAAATATTCCAAAAGTTAATCTTGGAATTTTCCAAAAGTTCTCTAAGTATACACATCTGATTTACACCACTTCTCGAATATACCAATGCATGTGGTATTCTTGATTTTCTTCTTCACTACTGTTAATAATCTTTGTGAGGAGTTTGTTGACATTTACTGGAACCCGCTGTACGTCTTTGTTTGTAAGCATTTTTATTTTTGATTTTTAATCAAATATAGATATGGCAATTCAAATTCATTATGGTTATTTAGAATATTAAAAAAAATCAAAACTCACATATGATTTTGAAGAATTTCTTCCTTAAAAGGATTTTTATTACCTCTTGTATTAAATCAAAGTTCTTCTAAAATACCATATATATAATGAGCCTTACAAACGAAGACAATTTTGTTAAATGCTTTGTCAGTAGGGACCAGTACTGATCATGTAATTTATCTAAATTTTTTTTCACTTCTATATAAATACAGAAGGATAGATGGTTTTTCATATTATTTGATATATATTCTTAAAGCTATGTTGTTTAGTCAAAGTAGTCAAAAAATAAAATTATTTAAAATCAATTTAAAAATGTTTCAGGTTAATTGTAGAGCGTTCTTAATGTATATTCAAGGAAAAATGACACGTTCATTATAAAAGAATTTTTTCATAAAATTATAACTGTTTCCTTTTTATAAAGGTGAAGGTAACGGACAGCGATCGATCTTAGAAACTCTACATACAATAGACAGATTTTTTAACAGGTCATTTAACACGGACCTCCGGAAATTTAAGAAGCGGAATCAGGTGCATAGGAAGAGAAAGCATTCCTTGCTGATTGGACGCCCCCGCCGTGAGTCATATGCATTGATCAAGGAGATGGAACATTCTTTGGTCAAATTTAGTACAAAAAAGGGTACATGATTGTTAACAAAGTCATTATATAACGACATTAGACTTTACGAAATGTCTACTTTAAACAAGGTTGTTGAAATTCCTGTAAAGTCAACTTACCTGTCTCAGCTTGCCTTGATTTAAAACCAGTTCGTACTCAGAGAATGCTTTTGAATATAAAACAAGTACTGCATAAATAAGGAAAGCTGATGATGCATTGCACATGTCGAAACGACAAGTGATTTTGAACCACAGTAATTGCAGCACACCCCTCTCCGACAGAAAAGCATAAGAATTGCTCTGACATCTAAATTACCCGTCGTTTCTTTATATTTATATGATATATTTCCTTATAGAAGGTTGGGGTACATGGTTTGGTACTTCATAAATCGGTAATTTAAATAATTACTCTTGTTATCAAAATGCACTTTATGAAGCAATTTACTAAATGTGATCATTTAACCTCGGCTATTTTGCTTGTTAAATAATACATGTTGATCCAAACGAAATCTAAATTGTACAAAAGCTGTAGTTCAACAGGTGATATTTGACAAAAGTGGTACTGAGAATAAGATGTTAAAATCACAAGTGTGTATTTTCTAGTAAATCAATCAAATACAGGGGACATTTTAAAGCATTTGATTTTATCCCCGTTCAGCATAGTAAATCTACATTTTTATATTTTCAAAATACATTCACATCAGTTAACAAGTACCATGAATTGTACATTTACCATCCTAAATTAATGTGAAGTCTTTTGGAAGTCAATTATCAGTTATGTTTGTTCTGTGAAATATATGGAGATAACGAACAGTATTCAAGCTCAAAAGTTCATAAAACAATACAAAATAGGAGCAGAGCAAACACGGACCTCCAAAAAATCAGAGATGGGATCAGGTGTCATGGAGGATTTCCCTTGTTAAATAATACAATTCATGTCATGATTTGAAAAAAAGTCTAAATTCAGTGAGTAAATAATGGCCTAACAATTAGTTGAAAAACAGGTGATTTTTGACAAAAGGATATCCGATCCTCAGCCAGGAAGGATGTTAAAATCAAAAATGTGTATTTAATTTGAAATGCATCAAAATGTAGCTTGAAAATGAAATTTTTTCATGCAGCAATTTTCATTATATTCATCTGTATAAGATTCAAGGTTTTTGGAAGTCTTAGAAAAGGTCTTATAAAAGTTGACATTTGTATACCCTATAAAAGGAAAAAAAATTAATATAGTTTTAGAGAAAAAAGATTTTCTTGAATCCAGCCTTAGGTACCAATGATTATTAGCATGATATGAAATGAGAAGTGATTTGTGGTGTCTTGCAATATAACAAAGGCCTTTTACACTATGTATTATACAATACATGACAGAAATAGTTCATAAAAAATACCAAAAAAGTATAAAAAATCAGGACAATTTCTCTGAATACCGCGATATCTATCGGTTTTTAACCTAAAATATATTTGTTGATCAATTTGCAATAAGAAAATGCATTGCTGATATTCCAATACGCTTATTCTGCAAAAATATTGTGTGCTTTTCCCTATATAATATGATTAACTTTAATCTTTAACTTAAAAGAAATATGTGGATAAATTTACATAACTCTGTGGATTCAGAGATACTTTTATGAGTATTTTTGATTACTTAACTGCTTATTTTATAAACCTGAGGATCGGACTACGTTAATTATAAGTTGTATTTGCTGACAAGGTCATTGTATCGACCATAGAACAAAATTATGACTTTAAACGAGACTGCTGATATTCTTGTTTCAGCAACTTGTTTGTCAATAATTTACCTCGTTTCAAGAATTGTTCAGACGTACAGCATGCTCTTGCGTATCGAATCAACTGAGCGATATAAAACTCATATGCAAGTAATGAAGGTATAATGCTGCATACGTAAGTAAAAATTGACAATTCAAAAGTTAAAGCCATATCGTTTGTCACAAAGCTTGGTTGTTAGATTACCATTAACGTCCTTTTCAACTAAAATATCCAAATATGAAACAGATGCGTCAGACTGTGGTATCTTTTATTTCAAGCTCACGGGGATATATCACATCGACATAAAAATGGAAATAACTATTGTTAGTTAAGGATACGTCGTCGATATATGTCATATCTAAATGACTTGAAGGCAAAAGCAAGTGTTTTCCTTTTTTCACGTATAAGATTTTGGACAAATTCTGCTTCATATGAATACAAAAATAGGTCCGCTAATAACAGGACGCAATTTGTACCCATGGGAATTCCAATAAACTGTTGGAAAACCTGGTCTAAAAAAAACACAAAGATATTGTCAATCGGAAATTCAATCTTTTTATTATTAACTTCAGAGTACTTATATGTATGATCAGAATGTGTTTTAACAAAATAATTTTGCAAATGACCAATGGCAAGGTGAGTTAATTAACAAGTTCCATTCTATTGAAAAAGCAGCTGTCAATGATACCAAAAAGCCTGGACTTTAATTTATCGTGAGGAATGGTTGTATATAAAGTTGAAATGTCGTAAGTTTTAATGCTGTTGATTTTGGTAAAATTTTGTGACTTCAAATTTTCCAAAAGTTCCTTGGAAGTTTTAAGTATCCACATCTGATTTACACCACCTCTCGAATATGTTGTTTAGCGATTTTTTAAAATAAAAAAAATTCTTGAAGCAAAAAAGAAACAAGAGCAATTTTTTTGCAGTCAATATATTATTAATCACAGAACACATTTATATTTTCCACAATACTGACATTTTAGTCAGCTTTAACCATTTAGCACCTCATTTTAAGTAATTTACACTCGTTTCTGCATACAGTGTATCTGTTTTTGACTTTCTGTGTTATTTTCCATTTTTTTAATTTGCATTTCTGTTTGTTGTAATATAAATCTCATGTTTTCTTCAAACG